GGACCCAAAAAAAAAAATTACGATGATGGACTGGAGGTGAAACTTAAGTGGTAAAACACAGGAGCAAGGAAGATGAGTTAGAGAGAGGCTCTGAGTTGAAGCCCTTGTACCAGCACCCCCCCTACACTGATGTGTGTATTTTTTGCATCTTTGTATAATATAAAGTGTGGAGGAGCTTATCACAGAAATAAACACCTTACAAATTCAGTAGTATTAACAGGTGCCAGTGGCTCATGACTGTAAGCCAACTACACAGGATGTGAAAATTAGGAGAAAGGAAGTTCAAAACCAGCCTGGGAAAAAAAGTTCATGGGCCCCATTGCAACCAGTAGCTGGGTGGATGGGCCATGTCTATAATCCCAGCTATGAAGGGAAGCATAAGTAGGAAAAGCAATGTTCATGCTGGCCGAGGAAAAAGCTATACCCTATCTCGATAATGACCAGAGCAAAAATAGCTAGCTGCATAGTTCAAGATACAGAGCACTGACTAGCAAGTGTACAGGTCTGCATTCAAAACCCAGTACTGCCAAAAAGAAATAAAATTCAGCAGCATAGTCTAATTGGCCAATAGGACAATTATTTTGAATTTACAGTATGCTTTAATGAAGAAATAGAAGAGTTTATTTTAAAAACTAAATGTTCTACTTCTTAGTGACATCAATTATACTAGTTAGATTTTTCATTACTCTGAGAGTGACAGAAGTAATTTAAATGAAGTAAAGCTCAGTGGGAGGTTAGCTGGATCACTGCTTTGTGCTGCAACAAAGCATCGTGCAGCTGGAGGGCATGGTTAGAGCTGGTGGCCAAGCGGCAGCAGAGGATTGCAGAATGAGGCCATGGACAATCTACGCCAGAGAGACACATTCCCTAACTAGGCCTCATCTTTAAATCTTTAATAGTTTCACCACTTCCCAGTAGTCTATTTAAATTTTGAAACCATCAGTAGATGGATGAGGGTATGGCTCTCATGTCCCCACCTCCCGACTGCTTGTATCAGAAACAAAGCCTTGCATACACAAGTTTTTTTCAGGGACATTTCATATACAAACTCTAATATTTCAGCTCAAGGATCAAGGTTCATGTGTATCTCATACCAGGAAAACTTGTTCAGTCTATCTTTCATGAACTCCATTAGGCTAAACAGTTCTAGCATCTTTGAAAGTCCAAGTCCAAGGATTTTTTTTGAGACCCAAGGCAAACCCTGAGCTATGTGCTGGGAAAATTTAAAAAGCCAGTTACCTACTTTCACCACAAAATGGCATAAACATTTCCATTCCAAGAATAGGGATTGGGGGCACAGAAAGGAGGAATGTAGTAAGATCAAAACCTAACAAAGAAATCATTTAGGGGCTGGGAAGATGGTCAGTGGTAGAGTGCTTGCCTTGCAGGCATGAGGTCCTAGGTTCGATTCCTCAGCACCACATAAGCAGAAAAGGCTAGAAGTGGTGCTGTGGCTCGAGTAGTGGAGCACTAGCCTTGAGCTGAAGAGCTGAGGGACAGTGCCCAGGCCCAGAGTTCAGGCCCATGACTGACCAAAACCAAAACCAAACAAACAAAAAACCCAAATTCAATCCAGGAGCTCAATGTCTGGCCTCCATAGCTTGTGGTACGGTGATGTAAGGTCCACTGGATTTGGATAACCCCATCCAATAGCTTTGCCTGTTGGCTCTGTTAATCGTCTAGAGCTGTTCTTACCGCCGTTCCTGACCTCTTCAACATCCTGGGATCTACACTGAAACTCAGTCTTCTTCACCTTCACAGTTTTCTATTGTGCTCCCAGTGGCTGCCTGAAGGGGTTCTGATGCTATGACTCATTGCCTGCTTTCCCAGGCTTTCCTTTGAAATGTAGGTGGAAGTCTCCATGGCCTCGTTACTCTTGCATTCTGCACATCTTCAAACCAAGTATCATGTGGATATTGCTGAAGTCCACTACCTGCTGGAGTAGTAGCTTGGTCTCCTGGGACCCTGGTGGCAGTGGTTTCTGAGTGCATGGGCAGCTGAACCTGGGCAAGCACTTCTGAAGGCAGTCCTAGGTGAGCACAATGCCCCTCAGCACTCTCCTCTCAAGGGAATGTCTTGAGCCTTGAGCCTGCAATGTGTGGGTTCTAACCAATTCCTGACATACCCTTTAGTTATCTTTCTGATGGTTCAGATGCATTGTACTTGATTTCTTTAAAATTATTTTTAGTTGTATAAAGAAGTCTCCATTTAAAAAGCAGTCCATGAATAAAATATATCCTGATCAATGTCACCCCTTTCAACACTCTCACCCATCCCTCCCCTACCCACCTGTTCCTCGAGTCTTGTTCATTTTGTAGGCTACATATGGAATTCTTGACTGTATTCCCCCTCTTTTCATTCATCCACCCTTTTCCCCTTGACCCCATCTCCACTCCTTTTAAGTACTTTCTTCCTGGTATTTATTTTGTTGAGCCTTCACTTTTCCTTTCTAAGAAATTATACTATTTGAGTTCTCCCTTGGATGTACCATATTTCAGTTACTATATTTGTGTGCACTGGATGTATTTACTTTTATTTGTACACTAAATCTTGCTTTCTACATCTCAACAGTTCAAGCTGATCAAATCTTATCATCTGGGGGATCTGAATTAGCTGTGGGTCAAGACCAAGGGTGTGAGCATCCTGGGTAAGAGGTCTTTCTATATGTGGCCTGGTAAAACTAAAGAAACACATTATCATCTCTCAACATATATGCTGACATTTTGGTTCAAAGAAGGAGAAAGCACAAGGAACAAAAAAAGTCACTAGTCTCAGATAATTTCAAAATCTAGCTGGGCATTCAATGTTTAGCTTTCAGGCCTGTTGATGATTTTCAGGGACTCACTTTATGTTTGCCTCCTCTCTAGCTATAAAATATAGCATGTGTGTGTTTCTGAGTGGCATCACCAGGATATTTGGGCAAGTAATATTTTATAAATCTAAAATCATTATTTCATTTTTACTTTATCATTCCTTTCAGACTAAACTGGCAATGTTTCTGATATCAAAGTAACAAGTTTTTAACTCTGATTTCCTGGATAGGGAACAGGAAATATTTTTCTCTGTTTTCTATTTCTTGCTACTTTAACTATATTATGCTGAAATAAATCCTTGCTTCGGAATAACTAATCTAACAAAAAAGTAAGATGAAATAAAATAAATACCAGGTGCCAGTGGCTCACACCTGAGTCCTAGGTACTCAGGAGATTATGATCTGAGGATCATGGTTCAAAGCCAACTCTTGAATGAATGTCTGTGAAAATTATTATCTCCAATTAGCAAAAAGCTGGCAGTAGAGATGTGGCTGAAGTGGTGGAGTACCAGCCTTAAGCAAAAAACTCAGGGACAGCACCCCAGGCCCTGAGTTTAAGCCCCAGTACTAGCATATGCACACAAAAGGAAATTTTCAAAGAAACGGAAAAAAAATTGCCTACTCTAGAAAATTTTCTTGAGAGTGAGCCTCTTAATTTTAGCATCTTGTGTGAGATTTAAACACATTTGAGAATTTGAAAAATCATGTTTCTGCTTTAAAGAAATCTTTTGGAAAGTTAATTCCTATCCCGTTCAATGTACTCTTAAAACCTGCAATTTAATGTTTTTGTAGCTATCTAAATCTAAAGCTATGTGAATGGCCACCACAATTAGAAATTCTGCAATATTTGATGTTGCTAATAAAATAAAAAATTTCTTTGTTTTTACAAAAATACCACAAAAGCCGTCAGAGAGCAGCAATACTACATATGGTAAGTGTTTGAGCAGTGTCTGTCTCACCTTAAGTACTGTGGAAGTGTTTGTAAGGGCCTAGTTAACTCACCTTTTCAATCTGCAACAGTCCTGTTAGGATCAAGGCTCAGGATCAAGGCTCACACTGTCCCAAGTGCCCTGTGCTGCCACGTACCTTCAGAACACACACACACACACACACACACACACACACACACACACACACACACACACACACACACACACCCCCCTCAGAGTTCTGCTTTTTAGACACTCTCGTTGCTCCTATCTCTCTTTGAAACTTTTTCTATCTTACCCTCTCCAGTGTTTCACAGTACTTCCACCCCCATTCCTTCCAATTTTATGCAACTCCTGAATGTTGTACTGCTTCTCCAGGACCAGCTACCCCAGTGGGTTGTGTTTTGTCTGTGAATTCCTTCCCACTGCCCTCCTCAATAGCTGGTGGGTTCCCAGAACGTAGAGGCTGGATTTTACATTACATGTACGTATACATTATATACATATAATTTATAGACCTATTAAGCATATATATATATATCAGTGTAGGACACAATTATGAAAAAAAATATAATGTTTCATGGAGACGAAAGAAATGCCCAGTCAGGCAGAAAAGGAAAGTTTATTTGGCATCCGGAGAGCCACTTTAACTTCTAGCTAAGGGATTAGGCTCCAGGTACAGTAGTCTACTGGCCTGGGGGCCAAAGGGAGGAACAGGGATGGGGGGGGTAGCGGGGACCCTGGGCCTTTGGATCTGCTGAAGCTTCAGGAAGTGATCTGGGAGGTTAATGGATGCTCTACCTTCTTTTCTAATTTGGGGTAGGTGGGAGGAATTTTATTCCACTTGCTGCAGAATTTCCCTCGGCGGGCATGCGCCGGAGGGGCTGGGAGACGACTAAGCCCCCTACCCAGCCTCTCTTCTTTGTAGACCGGGCCCAGCACCCTAGCCTCAGCACCGTGGCGGGTGGCGGAGGGGCCCCCGCGCGCCCCTCCCGGTGTGTCGCGTGCGCCAAGGTGCGCGCAGACTTGGGGCTGGTCCTCTTCCTCGGGCCCCCTCCGCTCCGTGCCTCTCCGCCCTCCTCCTCCTCCTCCTCTCCCGCGCTCCCCTCCTCCTCCTGTGCTCCTCCCCCTCCCCCGTCCCCTCCTCCTCCCGCACCCGCTGAGGGTGTGCGCAGCAGACGGCGCCGGGGGAGCCAGCGAGCGGGCGCGGCCGGGAGCCCGCAGCCCTGGCGCCCGCCGCCGCCCGGAGCCCCGCAATATGCCGCCGCGGCCCTCGGGCTCTCGGCCATGGCGAGGCTCTGCCGGCGCGTCCCTTGCACCCTGCTCCTCGGCCTGGCGGCCGTGCTGCTGAAGGCACGGCTGGTCCCCGCGGCCTCCCGAGCCGAGCTCGGCCGCTCCGACCTCAGCCTCATCCAGCAGCAGCAGCAGCAGCAGCAACAGCAGCAGAGGCAGCGGGAGGAGGCTGAGGAAGAGAGGCCCGAGGTGCCGGGAGCATCCTCTACCTTGACCGTGCCAGGTAGGTCCCAGCGGCCTGTGCTGCCTCTCCATCACCAGCGAGCGCTTTGGCCAGATCGCCTCTCAGCCCATTTGGGTTCCTTCCTGCCCCTCCTGATCTGCGGGACACTGCCCGCCTGCCCAACCGTTCTTTGATCCCGGGTTTTCGGTGGTGGCGGAAATCTGCCCTGTCCGGAGGGGTCGGGGTCGGGGTTCGTGACTGCCTGTATTAATCTTGTTCTCTCCCCCCCTCCGCACCCCCTTTCTTCCCGATTTTTCCTCTCTGCCCTGAGAATGGCTGTACACACACACACACACACACACACACACACACACACACACACACACACACGCACGCACACACGCACACACGGCTCTCAAATCCCTTTAGCATTTTATTCTCTGAGCCCTTCTCCCCTAGAAACCGGGAAATCTCGCCATTTACACCCACACACCCTTTTTCACCGCTTCTCTCTGCCTGCTGTATTTAAATTTAGACTTGGAGAAAGAAATCTTGATGTATCTTATTATTTCTCCCTCCTTATTATAAAAGATTACCCACACAATAAGATGAAAGAAAACAAAATGAAAGCAAGAGTTTGTAAATGATGCAAAGGAGGAAAAGGACAGGGAACGGGAGAGGGAGAGAGACTAGCACAGCATTAAGCCCACCCCTAGACCCCTAGAGAGATTATCTCCTGGCTTGTTAGTAGAACTTAAGAGGCGCATTCCTTTCACATTCAGGGAGGATGAAGAAATGTGAGTGTAGTATTTATGGTGTTAACAGGCCCCCCCCCCCCCCCCCCCCCCCGTCCTGCTTCCCCCTTACCCCTAATTAAAGCTCCACTGGTGAGCAATGAGCTAGATTAACCACCTAAATACCCTTACCCAGCCCCCAACCCTGTTCCTTTCTGGGCTGTTGAAGCTATCTGCAAAACAAAACAAAACATTAGTGTTCTGAAATGCGGGCTCAGGTGTTACAAAACAAAATAAAACAAAACAAATATATTTGCAAAAATGTATTTGCAAAAATATATTTGCAAAATGTATTTGCAAAACTAACATTTCTGTTTTAAAAATTCTTCCTAGCAACATTACTCTGGATGCTGAAAATGGAATGTAGAATGGGGTGAGCATCTTATTCTGTATTGTTTGCTCATCCGCAAAGAGCAGTAGTCAGGCCTGCCAGCTGTGATTCAGGATACAGCCAGATGATTTAATTTATCTGAGTGCTTTGAGCTTGCGATGAAATCACCAAAGTGTGCAGGAAAGTATGCATTTCTGACACTCTCTTAAACCAATTAATAGCCTTGAAGAGTGGCTTACAGTCCTGAAAGGCAGGTGCTGTGCATAAGTGGTCCTATCTGCCAGAGATCACAACATGGTGTGGGTGAGGTTGCTGGTAGAACTGGTAAGCTCAAGAATCTTGGAGATAAAAGTGACTGTGTGTCTTCATTACAAGAGGGAGTTCATCAATTACGTAGAACAGACGTCTGGGAGAGTGCTGATGGATTTTATGGTTGGAAATGTATTCTTTTTCAACTTTCCTAGGGGATGGGTTTTGACTATCACAATATGCCTACGTTGTGATGAAGGTGATGAATAACTCCAGTGTGATGAGACCTTTGTGTCCAAAATGAAAATATTTGCTTTCTGGTATCTGTGAGGCATGTTTTGAAAAGGTGACTGTCCAGACAACTGGCAGTCTTTGTCTCATTTACTCATTATATTAATCTAGATGAAAGAACCTCTATCAATTAAGTCAAACCAAATCCTGAAAGTAACATGACTCTTGCTTCTTCTTCAAAAACTCAACCCGGAGAGGTGGGGGAGGAAGATGAAAGGAGTGACATTGATTGTTATGTTGAATTGAAACCCCATTTGGACAACTACTGAAATATATTAATATTATCATTATTAATAATAATATTCTTAATCCCAAATTCAGTGCTTAAAAAAAACAAAAACAAAACATTTCAGTTGGCTATAGTTTGACTTATTGGAATAGCGTGCCAAAGAATGAAGCCTCACGAAACAAATGACATTACAATATTCCCAAGAGACATTGTGATCTGATCACAGAATAGGTCTTCTTGTTCCCCAACTGATTGTCCTCCTTACACAGCTGGTTATCTTCTGTGTGTGTGTGTGTGTGTGTGTGTGTGTGTGTGTGTGTGTGTGTGTGTGTGTGTGTGTGTGTGTGTGTGTGTGTGGTTGTGGGGCTTGAAATGTAGGGCCTGAGTACTGTCCCTGAGCCTGTATATGCTCATGGCTAGCGCTCTACCACTTGAGCCACAGGTTTTTGAGTGGTTAATTGGAGGTAAGAGTCTCAGGGGTGACTTTTCTGACTGGGCTGGCTTCAAACTGCCATCCTCAGATCTCAGCCTCCTGAGTAGCTAGGATTACAAGCGTGAGCCACCAGTGCCTGGGTAGCTGGTCATCTTTGTAAAAACACCATGTAGGATCTTTTTTGCTCATAGTCCACCAGTGGCTCCTATCTGTCTCAGTAAATGCTTAGATCCTGAAAATGGCTGAGAGAGGTCTAGATCCTGCATATTTCCTCTTTAACTACCTTCTAATTCCCCCTTCCCTCCCTTGTAGCCACACTGGCTCCATGTATATATATATATTTTTTTTTTTGGTCGGTCGTGGGGCTTGAACTCTGGGCTTGGACGCTGTCCTTGTGCGCTTCAGCTCAAGACAAGTGCTCTAACGCTTGAGCCACAGTGCCACTTCCTCCATATTTCTTGAGTTTTGGAACAAAATTCAGATGCCAGGCCTTTGCACTTGCAAATTTTTTTCTGCCTGACATTCTGAAACTTTATTTTTCTTGGGTTTCCACACATGTCACGTATTACATAGGTGTACCTCCTCAGCCCCTTCCCTGGTATGACCCTCTGTGCTCCTCAAAGGTCTCTCATCTTTTCCTATTGGTCTGTCTCTTTTTGTTTGAAGGTAAGTTCCACAAGAGCATGGACACTGTTTTCCTCACTGATGAATTTCAGCACTAGCTATGTGTTGACACTCTACTGTTTGTTGGATGAGCTAATGAATGGATGGATGGACAACATCAAGAAGTACTTACTTTCTTAGAGTCTGTTCACCCAGTGGTGAAATTCTTCCTTGGGATTTAGCGGAGGATGTACAAAAATTAAAATGTCACATGAAAGTATTTTTTAGTAGAGTCACCCAGTAATTTTGGATCTTTAATTTTAGCTAATTTCAACATTTACCTTATGCTGTCTATAGAGAACTAATTGATAGTACTTGAACCACTTATTAGGTTCTGTGAAGAAGATGCTTTACCTAAGCACACTTACAATCCTCTTATGACCTAGTAGGCATTAATGTATTATGCCTTTAAATAGCCATGTTTGAGCCTGCTTATATTGTTTACTTCTTGGTTGGACATATCATTGGATATGTCATGTGAAAGCTGTACTTTTTTTTCCTTAGGCAGATTTTAGAAAAATAAGAGACTCATTGATATGGCTGGCAGGTGACTGAGCATGTGTGTCAGAAGTAGAGAGACAGACCAGTGATCTGGGTTAGTGCCCCAGGATTTATTATTCTAAAAATTAAAGTAAAAAAACTTGGATATGATAATTTTTTTAAAAAATCAGGATTTTTCCTCATTAACAAAAAATAAAATATTCGAAGAAAAAAAGGCTAAGTTTGGGATCTGTCAAATCAGTTGTATTTTACAGCATATGCAGCAGCTCTGATTTCTCCATCTGTACCAGTTTTTACTAGAAATAAATGTCTGAGATACTAGGGAAGAATTAATTTGGGGACTGGTGGTAGTTGAGAACTGTAGTTGACAACTATGTCTTATGCTCTCTAATGACCCCCTAGATGGGAGGCATGCTGGGGTGAGGCTGGAGTGGGTGAAGCTAAAGAAAGTAATGAGCTACATTTAAAATTTAAAATTCTCCATATGAAGCACAGGCATGTCGTTTTGAGAAGTATATATTTATGCCATAAACATTTTTGATTGTATATTCCCAGTATATAGTATATAAAGTCTTATTTTGGATATATCAATAAATAGAAAATCGAATAATGTAATAGACAATTTCAGTCACTTAGCTTTTATAGTGATTAGGATTCTACCAGTATTGTATCACCCACCCATCTACCCATTTCAGCCACAGGACATTTTATTTCATTTTTGAGGTGAAATCTATTTATATATCATGTAAATTATTAAGTTCATTATTTTGACAAATAGATATACCCATGTAACCATCACTTCTATGAAGATATAAAGCATTTTTCTCCCCTACAAAGTTCCTTCATGTCATCTTCCCAGGGAATCCTCACCCCTTGCCTCGTGTCATCTTGTGTTCTGCTTATTCTGTCATAAATTTATTTCACATTTTCTAGAACTTGATAAAAATGGAATCACACATCATTTACTTGTTTGTCCACCTTCTTCAGCTTATAATAATTTCCATTTTTCATGTTTTAGCACATTTGTTAATTCATTGCTTTTTATTGTTGAGTAGTATTCCAAAGTAGCAATTGGCTGAACTTAGTTTCTTGCTCCTTTAATTGTGGCTGTTTTACTTGTATCCAAGTGAGTGAGGCTACTATGGGTTTATGCCAGTCTCTGTGTGAACTGTTTTCTTATCTCTTGAAAGACTTCGTATGATTGGGATTATTGGACCAATTGGTTTGCTTTTGAAGTTAATCTCCCCCCCTCCCCCACCCCACAATTCTGTGTGGCAGAGACATATTTCATTAAATTAAAACAACGAATTAAAAATAATGAAATACAGAGTTGCCTTCCTCTTCTTTCTCCTCCCTTTCTTCACCCTCCTCCTCCTTCTCCTCTTCCTCCTCCATCTTTTTCTTCTTCTCTTCTTTTTTTTTCTGTGGTATTGGTTTGGGGCTTGAACTCAGAGCCTTGGTGCTGTCCCTGTGCAATTTTTGTTCAAGACTAGCACTCTACCACTTGAGCTATAGCACCACTTCTGGCTGTTCTTGAGTAGTTTATTGGATGTAAGAATCTCACAGACT